ATTTCGTATATTTCTGGAACGAATACGATATATTGACAATTTTGTTTTTGACCTTTTCACTTTCATGTTTAATAACGTGATGTTATAAAATGGTGACATTGTAAGTATTTTACAGGTAATATTACAATTTATAACAAAAAGGTTTTATTTTTCGTATATAATAAGGGTAGCAAACAAGCACACAGTCCACCTGGCGATAAATGGATACTGTGACCCATATATATCCAGATCTATCCTCAATTAAAAATAAAAATGCAGATGCGTAGTCACCTCTGAGGATTAAGATGAAATGCCTCGTCGTAAAAGGGGTCTCCTAATCTCTACAATAATCATATTATGGAACATAGCAGTATTAAGCTACTATTTGACATTGTTATTCCGTGAGAGCGTGATCCTTCTCCGGTCGACCCGACCCATCTGTGCAACAAACAAAAAATACCTGCATCATGTAAATCTGCGTAAAAAAAATATATTTTAGATGTTATAAAAATTACTATCAATAAAAAATAAAAGCACTTCTAAAATTAATATATTGATCATAACATGACATTGCAAGACAACGCACTGCACAACAAACAACCACTAAGTTAGATGAGCTACAATTGAAATGTCTGTGACATCCACCGTACTCTCCAGGGCTTGCTCCAACAGATAACCATTCTCTCCGGAATTTGGACAACTTTTTACAAGGAAAAAAATTCAATTCCGATGCGGCAGTCCAAACCGCCTTCAAAGAGTTTATTGATTCTCGCTCCCATGTTTTTTTTTAGTAAAAGGATCAATGAACTACCTATCAGAAGGCAAAAGTGCATTCATAAGAACGGTGCACACTTTGATTAATTAAATATATTTTACAAAAAAATTACTCTATATTCCTCCCGTACAAAACGCGAATTTCATATGTAAGGAACCACTAATAATATGTTGATGATTTTTGTTGTCAACACACGGTATTACAAAGACATACCAAATTTATCAATGATAAATCCTTGAATGCACAAGAAAGGTAAGTTACTTATGTTCATTTTTTAAATATAGTCATACTAGGTACTAGTTAGAGCAATTAAAAGGCGTTATTATAAAGAACTCTATCAATTCTATCATCATACTAAAGTTTTTGAATGAGCATTACAAAACATTTTATGGAATAATAACTAATGGAGTGTAAATTAAAATAAATTTAATTTTTTGCGTGCCAATCACACCGGTGCCCTGCAATTTTTACTGACATACAAGGTCTTGGCACCCTAGTATTACAAGTAAAAACTTTGCGCTCATCAACCCGACTACACGAGAATGCGAGTATGTAGAAATCCTTAAAGAAATGTCATTCGGAGTCTTCGTAGAAAGATTTCCAAATAAAAAGGTATTGAAATTCCATTTCTTCCTCTATCAGGTTCCGTGTATTTTTGGCCTCATTTTAGGTTTCGTAGAGTTCTCATAAAATTTTTGTGTTTGTACACTGGGGCTTGAAAGCATTAGGAGCATTTCGTGGAACTAGAACCAAAAATAAATAAATAAATACTTTAAGGAACTAAAAAGAGAAAAATAATTTAGACATAAAAGCTTTATTTTTTACGCTATCAACAGGAACCACAATTGTGCAGATTTACATCAAACAGTAGACTGTGTTGTTGCCACTGTTTTCCTTGTGTAGGTGTTAAAACGCCCGTGGTTAAAGCTTAAACATACAAATATAATTGTGTATTCCTATAATAATCATCCCATAAAATAAAATATAATAAAAAATAATGAAATTGGATTACTCATTATAATTCTACAATGACAAAATTAAATCGATGACAATAAGTAAAACAAAAGTCAATATAATTTGTCAAAATTGTCATTCAAGAACTCGTCAAATTTATAATAATATTTCTCTATTAAACTGGTTTAGCACTTTTTTGAATTTATGTAAGGTCATATTTTTTACTGGATCAGGTAGTTTATTATAAATTCATGGAGCAATACCAAGAAAAAGCTTTAGTGATGTTTCACATTTTATGTAACATAACTTATTTATGGAGTGGGAGCGTATTGGATTCTTTCTAATTGTAGATAATTTTTTTTAAAAGAGATGGATTTTTTGTACAAAAATTGCTAATTCCAGAATATACAATAGTGACAGTTTTAGGATTTTTAAAGATTTAAAATAGGGAAAACAGCTTTATGTTTATTTTTAGACCACATTTTTCAGACCAGGGAAGAAGGAACCAACTATTATTAAGCAGGGAGACATATGTGCGAAACAGGTAAATTTTGGAGGAAGTGTTTTATACCTCACTTACACGCAAAATTGTTTATGCAAAACATAAACTACCTAGGAGGAAAGGCTTGATAACACGTTTTATGGATCTAAAGTATATACGAGGTACGTTTTACAGCAATTTTATTTGCGTCGTAAAGACAGAATGTCAGTTGACTTATTAAGGAGTTACGGATTGTACTAATAAATTTTTTACTTGAAACCTCTAGAAACATTACCGTATTTATTCTAAAAAAAAAACTGTTACATAAAATTTGAATTTGTCCACCACCATACAAACACTTTTCTCGTGCGGGATTTGATTGTGACGTAGTTAACCACGATATCCAACATAGACGAGTGTCGTGCATTTTAGGCTTCCTACAGATCACATAGAATATTTGTATTGTTTGTAAAGTTAATCACGATATCCAACATACACGACACTAACTTACATTATTTAATCACAAAACTTTAAGGCTTTATTATGAAATTGACATCTTCAAAGGAATTATTTTCCTCGGCATATTAATTTTCAGATTCCTATGTATTAACTCGTTCTATAATATTTATAATAATTTTATAATTTACAGCACTTTTCTGACAGCCTTAAATTGCAGCGTATTATCAATAAGGCACTAAACCCGACGCAAATGTCGTGAAAATAACAACGATCAAATAACGAAACTAAACGATAACCCGAAATTATCAACAAATCCATCGTAAAATTAAGTTGTGTTAGCTATAAGCAATATTAAATAAATAAATAAATTTTATTTATTGCTTATTACACAAAATACTGCAGGCAGTTTGTTGGCGAATACATCATCCTTTTACATTCTACGTACTCGTACATACTGTATTTATTTAATAACCTAATTTTGAATATAAAATTTAAAATAAAAAATTAAATATAGAAAAATTAAATATAAACTTAGCAGTGTTATTTATATACATAGTATTTAAGAGTACAACATGATAAATATCCCCCCGATTGTCTTAATCTACGGGAGAGATCTATATTCAACAATAGAATTTAGATAGGTAGTAATGCATGAATCTGAGCAATCTTAATCTCGATCATACAGCGTTGTGGTCAAAATACCCTACTCCTGGGTTCTAGGTTCAAATATGAATCAAGTGACTTTATAAATTCCTTAAGCAATCACTTAAAATTATAGGGCCACGTAAAAACGTAATCTGTTTACATAAACATTAATTGATCATCAAAGATAGAGTAAACACACAAATACATACAATTAGCTTATATGTTAGCAGGCTATGGACTATTACCAGGCAAGTAATGGCATACAAGAAATAAGAACTGCTTGGATAATTTTCTTTTGAAGATAGAAAAGAATCGTCACACTGCATCTATTTTGCTTTTGAATTTTACTATCAAAAATCACTGTATGATATTCGTGAGGCTGTCTAATGTAGTTTAATCAATTAAATCCCCTACTGTTAAAACAACAATAAACTATGAAAGTGCCTAATTTTAGCTTTATCTATAAATATTTAAACTTATTAAAAATTACTCACATAAATATTAATTAGATTTTCAACAAAAATATAACTTATTAAGTAAGATAGTAGAGTAGAAGTAAAAACATAAACACTCAATTATAAACACAGACCAAAAGTTTGATACTGTAAACTTATGTACAAAAAATTGCACAAAATAATTGATGACTTTGTAAATCAGCTACATCCAATGCTGTTAGGAAAATTATTAATACTGTGTACTATTTATACCTTTAAGTTTATAATAATATCCTGTTACGTGGAAAAAGTAGTAATTAAATTAGAATGTTCAGATTAAACTTACTATTAGCACGTGGCCGCGGCATGTTTCCTCGTTCGCCGCAGCTGGTTTTGTCAAAACCTTTTTTTTTGGATGACTGAGATGATGATTTATTGACAACGTTGACAATATAGGCCTATATGGTTAGTTTGGTTTAGTTTGGTTAGTTGTGGCAGATAACTCAGAGTATTAGTTTTATATCAACAATATAACATACACATTTTATGCGAGTTATTATCAGTTTATATTAAAATTGCTAGACAGAAACGGAAAAAAACAATTTACAATGTCTTCAAGAAGGTAAGTTTCATGTTATCTATAGTAAATCATATTATTTGTTGGTATTATTTTAAATACTAGGCTACAATAGACGTAATAGCTACAAATAAGTTTCACTTGGGTCATTTTAGTAAGGTGTACACAGTGCTAGATTAGGTGTATCATATATGGTACAGTAGGTCTATGTATGAGCACAAAATACCTAAGTCAATTTACATATTATTATATTAGCTTTTTATTTATCTTTTTGTGTTTTATTGTTTTAGGTCATTGACATTACATGAAATTGCTACAGTTCTTGAGGAAGATGATGATTTTAGCAACCAGAGACAAGATTTTGATATTTTTTTACTTCCACCTGACACCGCCAATGATTACCAAACTGACGAGGACTCGGGTGAAGAAGATAACGTCAGCATAAATAATTTGCCTGGAAGTTTGCTTCGAGCTCCAGCGGAGCTTGCTGCCTCAACCTCAATGGAAAAACCAGAAACTGAGGACCAAACCCTCCCGAATTTCAAGAACCTTTAAAAAAAACGTGTCATGAATTACAATTGGCGAAAACGAGACTTGCAGCTAAGACCTATTGTTTGGAAACCCCTTTATCATACTCCTATTGAAAGAAGCCCGATAGAATGGTTTTCTTTATTATTTTCAGAAGAAGTATTTGAGATGCTTACTATTGAAACCAATAGATACTTAGCACGTAAGCTTCTCTCTGCTGACGTCAAGATTGAAGAGATGAAATGTTTGGTAGGGATTTTGTTAGTCAGTGGCTACTGCCAAGTGAGCAGAAGAAGAATGTACTGGGAAAATGCATCTGACTCAAGAAATAGTTTGATTGCTTCAGCCTTGTCTCGAGATAGATTTACACTAATTTACTCTAATATTCATGTTGCTGATAATCTAAATTTAGATACATCCGATAAATTTGCAAAAGTTCGTCCTTTATTAAAAGTTTTAACTATGAGGTTTCTTGAGCACTGTCCACATAAGGAGAATCATAGTGTTGATGAGGCTATGGTCCCATATTTTGGTCATCACGGCTGCAAACAGTTTATTAGAGGCAAGCCTATAAGATATGGATACAAATTATGGGTTGGTGCAACATCAGGAGGTTACATTGCATGGTTTGAACCATACCAAGGTGCTTCTACATTTACGAATGCCCAATATTCCCAGCTTGGTCTTGGTGCAAGTGTGGTTTTGTCTTATGCAGATCAACTAGCAACATTAGGCTATGGAAAAAACTACCATCTCTTCATAGATAACTTTTTTACCGGTTTGCCTTTGGTTCATGAACTTACTGAGAGGGGATTTCGTGTAACTGGTACTATCAGAGAAAATAGATCTGGAAAGTGCCCTCTATTAAGTAACAAAGAAGCAAAGACAAAAGAAAGAGGCTTTTATGATTATCGCATATCTGATGATATTATAATTTGCAAGTGGCATGACAATAGTATAGTGTCAGTATGCTCTAATGCAGTTGGTGTTGATCCTGTCCACAAAACTGAACGCTATTCTCAGCAACTAAAAAAGAAAATATCTGTTTCTCAACCTCATCTCATTCAACAATACAATAAAAATATGGGTGGAGTAGATTTATCAGATCAGAATATATCGTCATTGCGAACTAGCATTCGAGGAAAAAAGTGGTATATGCCTCTGATTCTCCATTGTATAGACATGTCTGTACAAAATGCATGGCTGCTGTACAGACATAATGGAGGGAATATCGACTTGCTAAACTTTCGACGTCGTATTGCAAACTATATTATCGATTGTAATAAACAACGCGAAAGGCCAGGTCCTAGTCGACCATCTTCAATAACATCAGACTCTCGATACGACGGCAAAGAACACTATGTCAGCAAGCAGGAAAAGAGGACCAGGTGTGGCCTATGCCACAAACAATGTCCTACAAGATGTGTCAAGTGCAATATCGGTGTCCACGTAGAGTGCTTTATTATGTATCACACCAAAAAGTAAATAAAATCTAATTAATAAAATCATGTCTTTTTTTTGCATACATATAGTCCTACTGTACCATATGTGGTACGTCCCTTCAGTCGCCCCCCCCTCTTATTAATTTTTTTTTTAAATATTTTTCCCCCGGTTTTTAGGCTTTCTTGGATCAGGTTTTGTTAATGAAACATGAATTTTTCACAAAAATAATTATCGGTCTAAATGGGTTCAAGTAATTTTAACATGTGAAACTAGTCGCAGGAAGATTTGAAAAAAATTAGAGGAGCTTAAAGAATATGTACAAAAATTTGTACACACACACAGTCGGCGGTCAGTAATATAAACATTTTTACAAATCTAGGTATGATAAAGGTATTTTATTTTATCTCTTTTTTGTACGCGGGGTCTTGGGAGGTTTTAACAAAATACCAGAAAATATACAAAATTTTACCTGCCCAAAGTTCAACATTTTTATTAAACTAGGTTTATATAAAAATGGTTATTATATTAATATTAAAGAATTCGTGGATAATAATAACCCCTGTGAAAGATGGTCGCTACCAAGCTATTTTTAATTTGTTTTGTGTTGTTAATTGTAGGGTACTTGTTTGTAAGCTGTTATTTTTTTTATAAAGTCCCGCTGGGTTTTTTTGCTGGTTCTTCCCAGGACAGAGGTTTTTTTCTGAACCAGTGGTAATTAAACAAAGGAGTGATTTGAAATAAGTGATATTTAAAAGCCTTGTTGTATAAAAAAAATCTATTTCTGTTTCTATTCATATTACATGGGAATGGTTAAACAATTGAAAATAATATATCTTTATTGAATTATTCAACCGTGTAGAGGCGATGTAAGAATATCTAACCCATAACATCCCGTGGGTGTCGTAAGAGGCGATAGAGGGAAACAAATCAGTTTATGGGCGGCAGAATCTTCCTAATAATGATTAAAAATAAAAAAAAAATTGCGGTTGCCGGCATTTATGGCAATCGTGGCAACTTTGGCAAATATCCCCCTTTTGCGGCAATCTATGCAGATGGCCTATAATTGGCAGTGGAATTTAATAGGCTCTAACGGTAACGGTATTTAATAATTCTTCAGGTCTCCTGTAAATCTTAATATTTTAATCATGATTCATGAATATTTAAAAGTGACAATTTAGTTGACATTCAAGTTGTATTATTTCTAAGCCACCCAAAAGGGTAAAATTAATCCTTGCACACAATATGTCTCAGCACAGACTTTAAAAGGTATTACGTGGAAACAATTTTATTCTTTTTAGTTTTTGAAGATGGTTTGTTTCTATTTATTAAAATGTATTTTATTTTTATTCTGGTCAAGTTACATTTTAGTAAATGAATTTGTCGCCCCTTTTCACTAACTTCAATCGAAGTTATTTTCTTTGAATTACTTTTACCACTCAATAAAAGCCACTAGGTGCAATATTTTCACTTGACAACAAAAATTTTATGAATTTGTGGGAATACTACTCATTTTATGAGAGTTATTTTAAAAATTGTATCACTTTAATATTTTTGATTTTCATTTTGAAAACCTGATGTTTCGAGTACATTTCAACTTATAAAACATTACTTGACTTGATGGAAGGTAGTTGGGGTTAACAATGGGTACTGCAAAATATTCGAGCCATCGAATTTAAGACAAGTTAAAATATACACCCAAAAGTACCTACAGTCAGTTTACTACACGCAAACAAAATTTACTGCTTTTGCAAATTTATTTCAATTCAAAAGAAAACTATTTTTCCCTTCCCTTTTCGATCGCAAACCCTCTTCGAACAACCCATGCGCAACATGTCGAAAAGAAATAAGGTACGTAACTAAAAGGAAAACTTTATTGATATTCGGCGAAGTAAAGCCAAATTAGAATGGAACTTAAATATACGTAACGCGATACAACATCAAAGTAATAGATAAATAAACTCCCCATATGGATGTTATGTAAGATGCTCTTTGGCATTATGAAGTAAGCCATTTTCTACTTTGAGTAAATGTGTTTGTTAGTGAAAAAAGCATCTCTATCTATTTAGAAAACTTGATATATGTAAAGTCAAATAACTAATGCAAAATATTAAATCAAATATGACATATTTGAAATACAAAATAATAATTATAATATAATATAATGTCCTCCGGACCGAACTTCAATCACGGCAACCATTCTCAATGGAGTCTTGTTATCTGTGCCGGACAGTATTATTGTGCAGGAGTGTTTGCGCAAGCACGGGTACACTCTCTATTCCCTCACTTTTATTCTAGTTTGATAGGTCGGAAACTCGAAGCGATTACCGAGAGATCAAGTGCAGGACTTCCGGTTTTACGTGTTTTCCAAGTCACGGTGTCGTAACATCACAAACTTCCGGCCTACGGGCAGCTGCTAAATTTTTTTTGAGGAAAGCCCTTTTTTCTTTCTTTATTTGGATCACCAACAGATATACAGAATACTAACAAAAATATACTTCAACACTGCGTTTATATGCTACATTATCATCTTCTTACAGGTAACCACAACTTACGTAAAAAGCGAAGTGATTTTTTAAAGAAAAGAAAACAGTTAATAATATGCTTATAGGTAAACATGGAAAAACAGATTTGCTATAGCTACAATTTGTGGATTTAATGCTTAGAGTCTATATAATATTAATAATAATTCTACAAATTTTTTGGATCAAATACTTAAATCTAGACAACGGTGTATACTTTATGTCTATTTCTATGGAATTTGGTATATGGTTGTGTAATGACATCATTCTGATAAGTGAGGAGCTGCGGCCCTAAATATTTTTACAGTGACGTTCTTTGAACAACTTGTTAACCCTAAAGCGCGGTAACTTATTTCGTACAGATATATTAATTTTACTTAAAAGTTGCGAACAGTCTATAGGTTTATGCAATAATTTATGAAAAAAAAATCAAGATCTAGTGTTTTCCTTCTGATATTGAGAGTTGTCATTTTAAAAATATTTAAGTTTGTTATCGTATAAATTTAATAAATGTGATTGATTTCTGTGGTGACATTAAAAGCACAAAAATCGCTTTTAAATTTTTCAAAGTTTCTTGTGTATTTCATAAAATGGATTCCAAACTTGAGAACAGTATTCCAGAATACTACTCACTAATGTATTATATAGCAATATAATAGTTTTAGGGTGCTTAATTTGTCTAGAGTGCCGCATAATGAAACCTAACATTCTGGAGGACCTCTTTATGATATCATCTATGTGATTATTAATACTTAATCTGCTGTCAATCATAACACCAAGATATCGAATAATATAAGCCGGTTCTAAAAGTGTGTTATTTATCTTATATTGGAACACATAATGTTTTTTGTTACGGGAGAAAGAAATGACGTGACACTTATTCTCATTCACAATCACACAATCTATTAATGTCCTCTAGTAGTAATACACCGTCATCTATGTTTGTTATCAGCCTTAGCATATTAAGATCATCCACAAGAACCACCACAAATGATTGGCGGTCTTTTAAATAAGACGCAAGCCATTGTATAATAGAGCCCCCAATATCAAAGTGATACAATTTTTGAAGAAGTATTTCATGGTTACCCTGTCGAATGCCTTGCTAAAGTCGGTATATATTGTATCAACTTGAATGCGTTGATCAACAAATTCCGTCAAGATTTCGACAAAGTCAACCATGTTCGTGTTAGTGGATCTACCTCTGATAAATCCATGCTACTTATTTGTTAGCTAAGTTTTAACATGGTTGTATAGATAAGAATAGATATTACTTTCAAATACTTTTAAGAAAATAGATAAAATTGATATTGGTCTATAATTTTTTTATGTCTCGCTTAACGCCATCCTTATGAATTGGCACAATTTTAGGTTCTTGCCAACTTGTTGAAAGATACCTGATTTTAGAGATTTATTAAATTTTATGGTAAGGAGAAGTGACAGTTGTTTAGCGCAATTGACAATAAAAACTGGTGGTATGTCATTGAATCCCGGTCCCTTGCTTAAAACAAGTCTTTATAATTTGATAAAGATTTCTAATTCATTTAGTTTTAGAGGATTTAAGGTGCTCAGCTACTCTACAGTTACACAGTAGTAAATGGTGTAACATTAGTAAATGATGTTTTTTTTGCAAAAAATCTCACTAATCTTTACATTATCCTCAGCTTCATCCAAAATTCATTCATTTCGTTCATTCATTTCCCAAAAACATAGATGACAAAGTATTACTTCTATTTTTACATTTATCTTTTGAAAAGCTCCAAAAGTATTTTGGGTTTTGTGAGATGCTGCTTTCGATTTTGTTACAGTAGTTATTATAACTTAAAGATAATAATTTTTAGTTGTAGTATTTCATAACTGATATTATCTAAAGGATTTTGATATTTTTTGTAACGAAGACGTATTTTATTATTTATTTATTTTCGAACTTTGATGAGATCTCTGCGAAACCATGCCGGATAACTATTGAATTTAGGTTTATTCAGAGGAACATGAGCTGTAATAATTTTGTTTGTTGCGTAAAAAAGTTAATAATTTCATTCATACTACCAAGGCGCAGAAATAATGATAACCAATAAATTTTTTGGAGACCATCGATTATAGAACTCTAATCTGCCTTAAAGTAGTTTAACCGTGGAATTCGGCATGGGTGTAAATTTTGATATGAGGGTAGTGAAACAGTGAACTGCAATGGAGGGTGATATAAATCAACTCTGATTAAAGGGCTGCCACTATCCTCGAGGTGAATATCTGAAAATGTAGAAAACACGAGATCGAGTGTATAAGTTTTTTTTTGTTTTGTACATTAATGTATTGTTTCAAACTATATAACACTAAAATAGCAAAAAAGTTACGGGAAGAACAATATGAATAAACTGGATTCAAAAAACAACCATCGTCACTCATTTTATGTTTGGTATTTTATGTTTGGCATTTTAAAATCTCAAACCAGAAAGGCATCCCGATGTTCAGATATAATAGTACTTGAGTTTTCTGCAAACTATTCCAAGTCTGTCTGGTTTATAG